ATAAATTATAATGTTTCAATTTTGATTACTTTATCAATTTTTTAAAATTTTATTCGAACAGTTTTTTGTTGATTGTGTGCTCAATATACAATACAATAAAAATATGTATAAAAACTACTTGTCACATAATGTAGTATTTTTTTTTGAAGGAGTTTGATTCCTCTATTGAGACATCAGTTGAAATCATGATGGTTTAATAAACGAAAATAAAGTTTTTAGATGAACGTCTTCAGAGGCTGCTTGTAATTTTAATTTTTGTTTTTTTTTTCGATTCTGTGCACCAAATTTATACTCATATTTAGATTTTTCCATTAATAATTTTCCACTAATAATTAAAAAAAAAAATTAAAATTAAATTAAATTAGGTAAAAACGATATTTTATATCGGTTGATTAAAAAATGTGTGGCATAATTTTAATTACAAAAACCCCTCTACAATTGAGAATAGATAGTACAGTATTTATTGACCCACCTCAAAAAATAGAAAAATTACAATTTTCCAAAAATCGGTATGAAAAAATGATTTTCTGGAAATATTTTTATTACCGTTTATCCGAATATTATAAAATTTTGCACATTAAAGGACAAAAAGACACTCTTTGATTTGATGTAAACGGAAGTCTTGTAGAAGCTATACATTTCCGGTAGCAATGGGTCCTCCCAGTTTTGGGATCATAACTTTTTTTCGGCTTATTAATTTCTGTTTTTGATACAGCTCAATCAATTTTTTTTTAAAAAAAAGGTAGTTTTATATCGCCAAAATGTACCGTTCTCGAGTTATTTGAGTTTAAACTAAATTCTACACTGCGCTGCAAAATCGGAATTTATAAATTTTGGGCGTACCTTGGAAACAATCCACGGCGAATAACATCGCTGTCAATGCTGTCATATTTAATGTAAATTTCATTAAATCCAAAGGAACATTTGTTTATTTTTTGATGATTATAAAAGCTGTAATTTTTCTATTGCTTGACGAGTTGGATTAATAAATACTGTGCTATCTATGCTCATTTGTAGAGGAATATTCGTGATTAAAATTATGACACAAATTTTTGAATCACTTGTATAAATCCACGCGTAATTTTTCTTACATGGGTGTAAGACCTTCTAAACAAAATTGAGCTAAAATCATTGAAATTATAATTTTATTTGTTATGATGGCAATTTTTTAATTCCTTTAAATTAAACACACTTAGCATCTGCGAAAAACGCGTTTCAGGACTTCATGGATTAGCTGTATGCAATATTAAATTATAACTTTCAAGTGCATTGTGAAAAGTTTATTTACAAATTTAAAATTATTGATATTATTTCAATGAGCTCTTGACATAATAAGTCTACCATAATTGGGGGCCCGTAAGACTCGAGGGCCCGGGGTGCTGTGGCACCCCGGCACCCCTGGCCAGTCCGCCCCTGAACTCAACACCGTAGGTCAAAATTTTGCACTTCATTGTATTGAGAAGAGAATTGTTTATGGTACTTTTTACGCTCGGTAGCAGGCCATTTGGGGTAATTTGATTTGGAAATAAAGTAAATATCGTATCTTAGAACCAATGAAATTGTTTTCAAAATTAAAGCAATGACTCGAAAAGCGAAAAGCATATCTGTTGTCGACCGAAGAAACGGTTGGAAAAAAAAATGGAAAATATTTACAGGAAAATATAGAAAGAAATTGGTCGTCACTGGTTGCGAAAGAAAGCCAGTTTTACTAGGTACTTATATTGGTTTTGTTATTTAAAATTTAGTTTGATTTTTTTGAAAGTTGAAAAGTTGAAATTAAATTCTCTGTTTATTCATCAATTTTACAATAACGAGTAAATTTAAACAATGGGTAATTTGCGGTTTGAATATTTATTTACATCTGCGAATGTATTTGAAGCATAAAATGTTTTATAGGTCTTTGTTGCGAGCAAGTTCTACCTTAGATCCCCTAAATCACTTAAGATGACTTGAAAATTTCCAAATGACGAAAGATTTATTTTCTGTCGTAACGTGGGAGTACCTATTATAAGCACGGAAGCGATTACAAATAGGTGGTTCAGTGTAACAACCTGCGTTACAATTACAGTACCAGTCTAGTTGCTTTGTTTGCTAAAGCTTCGGTGACCGTAGTAAATTTTATGGCTTCTCCTATGCCATGTATGTATTTATGCTACACGCATTTCTCAAACAATCTCAGCAATTGATTGACCTATTTACCAAATGGACTGCTTTCCTCTTTGTGGTAGAAAACCATTTTGCAGCGGGAAAACAAACAAGTGGTGGTCCAAGTTGGTTATCATTCTTGCAGGAAGTCCGTTGCCTGCATAGCGGGATAATATGGTTTTTACGTAGTACTTCTTATCAAGATCGGAATCACAAACACTGAATAACGAACTTTATCAAGGCATTATTTACACAAATGTCAAATCTTATCGCCGTCAAATAGTACAATTGTGCTTATTTGAACAGTGTGGAACTGTCTAAAAGATCACATTTTTCTTCGTAACGAAGCGGGAAAGTGATTCGAAACGCTTACGGGAGGAAAAGAACCGCTTTGACACTGATTTGTTAAGGGTGGTTACAGTATTGTGAGCGCAGTCACACTGTTTTAATCAAGCAGGTTATTTATTGTTTCATGTCAGGCTTTAATAGAAATTTCATTATGAATTATTGTAAAGCGTGATTAAAAAACACAATTAATTTTTTGTCGAGTTGTGATGTGTTTGCTCGTTCACACATTAATTCAACAATAAATTACAAGCGCGAAATTGATTATTTCATTTGGTCGTGATAAAACTATTGATACCTTAATCTAAACCTGACCTATATTAACAAGAGATGAATTTTTGAGGTTTCTCAAAATTTGCTGTTTATTTATGCAATCGGCAACGAATAAGATATTTGACCTTACAAACGGTACTTCTTATCAACGTTTAATAACGTGATCATCATGAATGTTATGTATTAAAATTCGTTCATTTCTAGTGTAGATTCGATTGAACTTTAACCTTTAAATGACTGCTTCTTTTTGTTGCTAAGGACTTCGAAAATTGTAAAATAATTTTAATGATAAAGAAGTTATTAAAACAAAAACGAAGGATTTTAATGTCATATTAATTTTTGTTATGATGGTGAAGAGAGTCGATGTTTTTTGAATTCAAGTACACAGTTTAGAACAGGATACTAAATTATGATAAGAACAGAAGTGAATAACATCAAATTTAATATTGATGTGATTTAGAATTTTTTTTTCTAATTTTGATATACTTATGGCAAAAGTGTCACTGACTGATGCTTCAGTGACGAAAATTTCATTTTTTTGTAGGTATTTCAGAACAGGTTAAAGTAAATTGTCTGATACCATCTTTCAATTTTTATTCCAATAAAATATTTAAAAAGATACTACAAAAATTGTTTTCGCTTTCAACATTATTTTTATCATAGTAATATACTGTTTACTGGAACTGAAGCAATAATTATATGAATTTAATTGACGTCGACTTATGGTTGTTTATTTTTTGCTCTTTTGTGTATACGCTTATTAATAACAGTAGACAAAGCTTAAACAAATATTTGAACAACAGGAGATGTTTAGTAATTGAGTACTTACCTGTAAAAAAAATTACATTAAAAAAATATATACCTAGTTATTTATTCGACAAGTTTGAGTATAAATCGGACGCTTTATTTCACGAGTAGATTTTTATCATCCACGAGGTAGAATAAATGAACCGATTTACAGGAAGACAAATTGAATATAACATTTTATTCTTCGAATTTGACTTAACAAGGCTTACAATTGCTTTAAACCTGTTAAAAAAAATCTAACGTACTGTACCTAATAGTTTTGCGTGCAGAAAGTACCTTTTTACCGGACTAGTCTATTCTATGTTTCTCGAACTCTTAGACCGGTAATAAACACAATTTTAATTGATTCACAATATCTGCTACAAGTTTTAACATAATAAAAATAAAATTAAAAATTTTCTGGGGCATGAAAAATTATGTTTCTGTACAGGATGCCCAGCAAATTGTTATTATTATTTTTTTTTTTAATATACAAGAAATTGATAGATACTAATCTAGTGCCTCGCCTGATATTTTCACCTATACAGCGGATTTAAAAAATAAGTCATAATAACTCATGTTTTTTTAAATTAAACACCATACGTTACCTACGTTTTGATTTATCAACTCTAGAAATTGAAAAATTTATGTTTTTACATAGACAATTTAAAAATCTCTTAGATGCAGAAACAATAAATAATAGGTGTTCCATTTAAATTTTTTAAGTTATCTAACTTTAAAACAAATTTCTTTAAGTTATCTAACTTTAAAAAAATTTCTTTATTTTTTATCTTTGCAATACTTACAACACATTAAAAAATTGTTACAACCTTGAAGTTTGTAGTTTTTTCTTTAAAGTTTCTCTAGCTACCTTAATTTTTGTTAACCTGAAATCAAGGACACGAAACACAAAATGGCTTAATTTTTGTGTAGGTACCTACTAAATTTTTAAAAAGTGTACGTTTTCTTCTAAATTTTTATAGATAGAATTTTTGTAACATTTTTTCCGTGTTCCTGGTATCGTACATGGCATTTTTCTCTGAGGCGCAAGTTCTGGCGCATCCCATATCTTTCAAATTTTAACATTTAAAGGTCAAAAATGGTCTCGCTTGTATACTCATCTAGAACTCGATCTTGTATTTGCTCACTTTTTCATCAGAAAACTTCACTTTCCGAACTAGATCTGATAAAGTATTATTAAAAGAAATATTAAAAAAATACTTTAATGGTTTTCTTACTGTGCGTGCTAAAATACATTTTTCATTTAGCATACATAAACAATAAACAGCACATTTGTCAAGTTTGTCAAGGCTAATCGTAGTTATAGAATTTAGTCATCATTTACTTATTTATTCATGTGTTGTAGTAAAAATGCTCTAATTAATTTTTACATTTATTTGAAATTGTGTGTATGCAACAATTTATACACCGATGTGTTTGTTGTGTTGTAGGTATTGATGGCCGATACAACGAAGAACCCACTCAATACAGCCCCGCCTCTCATCATGAGGGGGCTGAGCCTTCACCCCACTCTCGAGCGACAACGCCTCTCGAATGTCTGCCCTATACAACAGAAGCTGATCAGGAAAATTATACAAATGTCATGCGATCTGAAGGGGATTATAATATACTTTTCAACAATACGAGAATAGACGAGGTACAACCTAATGATGTTTGAAGAGAATATTTGATTTTGGGTCTTTTTGAAATTTTAGGTGCCGATTGATGAGACTTCCGGCACTGAGTATCTGCAATTGGGGACTGTTCAAAATGTTTCAAATGGGTCTCCAAATGGTAGTGCGAATTCCAACTCTGGATCTCCTCGACGAGTGGCCTTTACACATTTAAATTCGATACAAACTTCAGACCACCATACCATTATAGAGGGATCGCATCTCACACAACTGACTAGCCATATAAGTTACACAGGAGAAATAGAATCGTCTCCTGGTGTTAATATAGCAAGGTACTTTATTTAACATAAAAATACAGAAAACGAGAAAAATTTATTTTATAAAAAAGGCACAACTTAATTTATTTAAAGTTGAAGATGTTTTGGGGGTAATAATATACGTAGGTATGGGTGCAAAGGTTATCTATATCACAATTTTCTTTTTAATTTTACAACTTTGATTAACGGTATTAATGTCATTTTTTATATGGTTCTTATCATTACTAGTTTTTTATAATGAATGCTCATTTATAACTATTTCAATAGTTATATCATTCTGATAACTTTTACTTACATAACTGGACAATTTGACAATATAAATCAACAAATTTAAGATAACAAATTTGCTTATTTGCATTGGGCCTAACTCTCAATCTTATCATTCGCTATTACTTTTTTGATACTGTGGTAGTTATACAAGCAAATTGCTAAAAAGTGTATTTTTCTGAGTTTTGTGTGAGTATTATTTGGTTGTTTTTAGGTATATTTATTTAAATAGATTATTTCTGTTTATTTGCACGATTTGGTTTAATTTTCAACATACAAACTTACACTTGCTATTAAAATTCTTGAAGCGTTTTGATATCACAATGTTAAGAGTTGTTAACAATTAATTTTACTAATTTGTTATAGCGCAATTTAGAATTCTAGTCATGCCTGAAATGTGACTTGCCTAATCAACACGGAGGCATCAAAATGCTTGCTTTCGGACACATTATTGTCAAGAAAATATAAATAATAATATGATGACTTTATTTTTAAACAAAAATAAAAAATAGTAATTTAAGTACTTATAATACAGAGTGGTTATAAATGATTTTCATCTAGCCAGCTTTGGATTTTTTTTTACATGTAACTTTATTTTTGCCGCTCTACTTTTTTGAAAGCTTTAGTTCTGTCATTAGTGTCACTTATTAATTAATAAAAAYTTGTTGTTAATTAAATTTTTATTGTTTCAACTYATTTCCAATAATAATTGATAATAATGTATACTTTGGAAGAAAACAAGTTTATAATTGAAGTCTGTTTTCGAAGTGGACGCTTAGTAAACGGCGATTTTTTAATTTTGAGTTAAAACAAGTAGGTACCCCTATTTTCGTAAAGCGGCATTTTTTATTTTACATGGAAAATTCACAGCTGGCTAGATGAAAATCATTTATAACCACTCTGTATAATGCTAAAATTTCGATACCTAATTTGATTATAAAAATCAAAATTTTCTAGTACCTATTTAATATGTATTTAATCTAGGTAGAACTGATTTCTGATGTGGTATCTAATTATTCGTAAGCATTAGAAAAAATAATAGGTACATATTTATTCGCAAACATTACAGAACCACTAGGTGACCACTTTTATGACTAAATGTCACAGTTTTACCTTTCAGTCATAGAATAAAAAGAATCCGCTGAATTATGTGCCTCACTACGTTCGATAAAATAAACGTTCAGGTTCGTCACATAAACTATCACTTTTAGTACTCCTGATAACATAATATGCTATACAGGCTGCGCCAGAACTAACGCTCCAGAGAAAAATGCCATATAAGGATACCAGGAACATGGAAAAAATGTTAAAACAAGTTATCTATAAAAATTTAGAAGTCATTTGAATTTAAATTTTGCACTTTGATTCTATTTATTTCTGTTGGAAAATAATTTTACAAGTTTTTTTGCTACAGGTCATCAGAAGTGGAAACAAGAAAGCTGTATTCAAAATTGTAACGCTGTTCAATGTTATTTGTAGCTTTTATTGGCAAAATTTTTGTACCGTTACTAAATAGGTAATTGTAAAACAACATATACAAGATCATCAGTATTAGGTATTAAATAGACATAAAAAAAGTCAAATGTCAAAAAATAAATGTCAATATTTTTTGATAGATAAAATGTTTTAAACATTTTTTTAATGTTTCTGATATCTTATCTTACTTGAAATTTTTCTCTGTGGTGCGAGTTCTGGCGCACCCTGTAGATTTATATTTTTTGTTTATTTGATTCTATGTTTTTTTTTTCTTTTTCTTAAAATGTAAATGATAATAGTGGTCGTTTTGAACAACTATCACTGAAGAATAGCTGATAGTAAAATAACTTTGTACATTATCTGAGAGGTAAATTACCTAGTCAATGGTGAATTTCTTTTAGTATAGGTGGATATAATAATTAAAGAACGACACGACAAATTTTTAAAGCTAATTATTTCTTAAATAATTATGAAAAAACATAAACAAGATCATCAGTAACATGAAATAGACGTAAAAAAATGTCAAATGTCAAAAAATAAATTAAAAAATATTATGACCGGTAGAATTTTTTAAACATTTTTTTCATGTTTCTGCTGTTCTATCTTACTTGAAAATTTTTCTCTGGGGCGCGAGTTCTGAAATAGACTGTAGATAGACTTTTTCTATCATAAATCTGTTCTGCGGATTTTGGTCCGCTCTGTAGACTATCTAAAGTCTGATCGGTTATTGTTATAAAAATTGTTATAAATTGCCACTTTTGTTTTAGTATTAATAAATTGATTACAACGTAATATTTTTGGAGCAAAATTCACAAGAATTAGAATACTTACATATTTTTACACAAATAAATGTTCTAGTAGGTAAATAACGAAAAATATTGTACTTTATACATATTGCTAAACTACCATTACCATTAAAAGCTTTGTTTTTTTTGAGTAGTATAAAAAAAGAGGTTGAAAACTGAACAACGACATATGAAACCATAAATTATAGCGATTTTTGAAGCCTCGACAGTTTTAACGCATTTTTGCTGTAAACGTCATCCAGTTTCAAATATACGAGAAGTGAAGATGAGTGTCAAAATATTTATGTTGAAGGACGAAAATTGCCACCAGGTTTCAACTCCCACAGGCGATCAGATATCAGAAAACGTATCATTAACAGAACTCAATTAGCCAAAACAGCAAATGGTACGAATATTTTTTCAGCAATAACAAACTAAACGTTCCAAGAAGTGAAATAATCTATTAGATGATTTGATACGCATTGTGAGTCATTTGTGCATGTTGTCTTCCCAGTAAGTCATTTATAAACAAATTATATCACGATGTCTTAAATTACATTCTATTAGTTCACTTGTAGTATTTTTGCATTTAATGAAAAACAAAGTCGTGTCAAGTTTCAGTAGTTATTCAGTTCGATGCTTCAACTCTTATTATTCTAACAAAGAATCGAATTCTTGTTTGACGTTTTGTCACGTCAAGGCCACTGATGGAATTGTTGTTTTCGATGTTGGGTAGTCATTTATAAACATTTACAGATTCCTTTCCTAATGTCTTTTACAAATTGACCGTCTAGCTACCCACCAGACGCGCCGTTATCTAAAAAACTATTAGGAAATTACCAGTTTGTCAACTATATCTCAGGCGTAGTTTTTCAGGACGCGTTCCAATATGCACTTTTACAGAAATCAGTTTTTGTCGATTAACATATTCAACAGGAAGTGCTCTTATCAACTCAAAATTTCCCGTCCTGTCCCATTTGGACTGAATAATTCATTTTGCGCCTCGATTATTATAATTCGTAAAAAATGTAAAAGTCGAGAAAACACCGGAAACAAGTCCGCTTGATCGCCTCCACGTGCGAGCAAATTCCTCCACCAGCTACCGGTACATGAAGTTGTACTTATTGCAACCGGTGTTCGAGTCTTGTGCTCTGGCACGCGACCAATAAGTCTCGCTGAATTAAACACATTTGGGGCGAAAAACGGAAAATTAATTCGTTTCAAACTTGTTTGAGCTGTCTGTAATTAGGAAGGTATTGTTGCAACACTGCTCTTGGCATTGACTTTCGATTTGTTGACGATTCAGTTATGAACCTGACGGTTAATGAACCTAAATATTTTTATTCTAATGATTGTAAACATGGCCGGTTTTCCAGCACAAGAAAAACTTCTTTGTTTTGATTTGTCCTGCAGGAAGCACAGCTAGTATTTGAGTGGGGGTAATTTGAGCAAACGTGTATTATTTCGTTTTTTAATGTCATTTTTCTTTGCAGCAAGGTGCGTTTAAATGGGTATTTTCTTATCAATAGCGTAACGAGCACATTACCCCGTTTTGCTGATAAGAAAACCCGCATGTTATTACCAATGCTGGCGGAAAACCGAGTATTTTACTCGAAAAATACGGTTGAAACAATGAAGAAAACTACGCTTGTTATTTGTATTTAGATTTAATTGCTGTGGCAGGATTGAAAGTTAATATGAAATGTAGTAATAAAACATTTCATTACGCCGGTTCAAGAACATTTACAACGTAAATCTTTTTTGTGTAAGACAGATTTGTTTTATTTTTATTTAAAATTAGACTCAGTTCAAGTGTTAATATTGATTTAAAAATATGATAATGTCATTTAAAAATTCCACAGTTTGAACTGGATATGCTGATTATAAAACGCTATCTCTTAACAAATACATGCACAAATTCTTTACATCCCACGGCTTTTTATTTATAGAGTTTTAGACGCTTTACGAGTACTAAAAGATTTTAAAAAATACATTTTGAATATAAAGTACCAAGCGTTATTTTTTAAATTAATTGTTTTTTTCAATCACTCGCCTCTAGAAAATAATAGTTAATATAAATTAAACTAATATAAAAAATGTGATCGTATTTTGAGAACGAAATTTTGTTTTGTTTTTGAGTTATGCGATTTCTTTGTCAAAATTGCAACTTATGTATCTATAAACATTTTTTTGAAAACATATTAAATATAAAGTATAGATAGTTGTAATTCTTAGATTATTATAACCTTTATGAAAAAAAATGGTTTTACAGTGGGTTTCCTTTTAAATTTTTTTTTTTTGTAGAACTCAAAAACAAAAGAAAATTTCGAAAATTTTTATTCTTGATAAAACATCACAATTTTATAGTTCTTTATTATTCATCAATTAGTTTTTTCAAAAAATATAGTTTAAGCCAAAAACGTTTGGTTCCATACTTTTTATCCACATGGTATAATTTATAATACGAAATAGCAAAATTAAAAAACACATTTTTAAAAAAATATTAAACACCTACATAGATTTTGATCAAGAGACCGATAAAAAAAATAATTGCGTAAAACATTAGCAAAATTTATTAAAAAAAAAGCAGTATCGATTTAAATTTAAAAATGGCAACATTGAAACTGCATTTTTAAATCATCATGGGTCATAAAGTTCTGTATAATTGCTGAACTTCAGTCACAAACTTAAAAAAATAAGAAAAACTATGTAAAGCCACATTTTGATTATTGTAACAATCTGTTTAGAAGATAATAGTATAGGATTATGTTATTAGATGTAAAAGTAATAGTTTATGTGACAAAGCAGAACGTTTATTTTGCCGAAGGTATCGGAATTCGTATTAATATTTTCGAAAGTGTTAATTAATTTAACTAGGGCATGACTATAGTGCAGTTAGTAGTGCAAAATGTCGAATACTGATGATCTGCAATGTATCTCTTCAAAAATTGTTGAAGCAGTGAAAGAAACAAAAAAAAACAACGTTGGTAAATGTCAATAATGTCATTTAGCCATAAAAGCGGTCACTTTTGTGTCGTTTGCAAATAAAAAAAATTAAAGTGTGTTATTTAACACCCATCACAACGATTAGATCTACTTTAGGTGTTATATTTTTATTGTTTGTGTTAAAAATTTCCCTAACTGGTGGTTTGTTTAAATTTGGATAAAGATTTTGCGACGATAAACTTAATTTTTTTTAACTGTGGTCAAAATAATGAAATCATTAAAACCGCAGAATAATCGAGAATCATTTTGTCCTCTTAAAAATCATGAACGTTAGGAACGAATTAATTAATTTGTCACATGTCAAGTAATCTTTAAAAATGATAACTAATTTATTAGACCTTCTCCTTGCATTTTATTTGAGTATGATATCAATTTTCTAATTTAATTGCTGTTGCATATGAAATGTGATTATTCCAAGGACATAAAAGTCGAATCTGAAATATTTCGAGATTTTTTTAGTTAATTTGTCATTAAAAAGTAATTAACGGACCAAACCATACCTACGTGCCAAATTTAAACGAATTCAATTTACTTTAAATTGGAGTAAATGGCCTCCTAAGGTTAAACAAATTATGTATTTTTGTTCTAAACGCCAATAAAATTATTTTAAAAGTAAACGCATTAGTTTTAATAATTTTGCTTTTTTCGCACGTATTTTTCACGGACATGATTAATTTTGTAAACAATGTTCAACTCAATGCTCTGAACTTTTGCTACTGATTAGAACCAAACAGTGAAAAAATTGATTTAAAGGGTGAGGGTTTAGTATTTTTTTTTGTCAAAAAAAAAATGTTTTTGATTTTTTTCTATAAATATCTTTTCTTTTGTAGTGCAGTGAGGAAGGGGTTTTGTGACGTTATTTAGTGTGTTGTGGCTTGTCGGTCTCCTCTTGCACGTGACGTCAGAGCGTCGCCCCCACGTGATCGTTGGCAGCTTTGTAAGATGGTTCGTTCGGTTTGTCCAACAATTAGTAATCCATTGTCAGTTGTCGTACTTTGTCCGAAGTGTTCGGGCGATGCTTCAAAAATCCGTGCGCGCGTTTAAACGAAATAAAAAGCTTGTGTCAAGTACGTGTTCCTTTACTATCAAACCCAAGAGATGGATTTAAATTTTTTACAACACAAGTTAGTTTTTGTCAGCTTTATTTTAGCTAGTTTTTATTTAGCAGTAGCGACTTTTTCCCTTCTGCACGCTTTTCATGCGGCTCAGTCGGTGGTGCATCCGTGATTAAATTATCATTCATTTATCATCTCCCAGTGATAAGATTATTGTATCAAAGCTGCGGTCATGTCTTCAATACTTAGACACCTCCTATCGAAGAAGTGGGTGTTTTTATGAACGCTGTGTCAATTCCCGCTTCTTTGATCTAGTTTTTTGCATTTTTATTTCAATGTTGCTGAAAGTCTTCAATTTTTTCAGCACTTTGTACGCGCGAAATCCGAGTAGTTACACCACAGGCACCATGCCTTCTTACTACGGGACAGGATCGCCGGAGCTATCATCGCAATCGACCCAAATGTGGACCAATTCAGGTACTTTTCATTTTATTAAATTTGCGATAAAGTGGCAATGACGCGTTTTATTGATGTGCACCCAAAGCGATAAGCTTTACCTAAAAACTGTTTTTGTTAAAACTAACGGATGTTTTTATGGTTTTCTGTTTTGCACACCGAAATGTGAATAAACTCTTTATTTACTCAATTTTATTAAAATATTGTGCAACTGTTTTAATCACAAGATTTTCCAATAATGTAGACGATGAGTCGGCTTTCATTATCGGTTTTTTGTTGCCATATTTATTTAATTTCATTTTAATCAACGAAATTAGTTAAAATTATTGTAAAATCCTTTTTATGTTTATTTGTTTTGTTTGAATTTGTGCGAGCTACATTATACTAAAAATATATTTGCATTAAGAAAACACGGGAAATGTTGTACCCGTGTGCTCATTTGTTTATTTATTTCTACTGTTACAAGAGAAAAAAGTGTTTAACAAGTCGGTTTAATTCCAAAGTACAAGTGAGGTGTTTGAAAGAAGTCAGAGTTTTATTTTGTTAAAATAATGACAGATAAATATTGTAGTCTGTATCACATTGTTTTTGTAACTGACCTGCTACAAACAACTTTAAAAATAAAATAATGCAATCAATATCGTCAATGGCCAAATACACGTGATAATTTTATGAAATAAGCGCAAAAATATAATCAAATGTCCCAAATGACCCTTTGTGATAATTTTTATGATAAACTTGAAAAAAAATGATAATTTTTGTTATTTTTACGATCCAGCATCCTCTACAGTTTGTCAACTCTGAAGTCTAGACATTTCTCAATTGATAAAAAATTCTAGGATTAAATTCCAACCCGGGACTAGTGCTGGCTGAAGAGTATCCAAAAGTGACTTCTTCGACGGCTTTGCCTGCATTTAACAGATTATCGGCTCTTCACACGAACTCTCACCACCGAAGTGCCCCATATACTGTGCCCAGTTCGTCGAATTACAACGACTGGCAGTACGAACCCACGGGGACGCTTCAATACAACATCCTGAGTCCTGGGGCTTCACGAAACCGGCCCTTGTCGGCCTCAGCCTCCCTCTCGGCAAGTAAGTCGATTTTAAATGTATCAATCGCGGCTAAATCATTTCCTCATTTTCTTAGCTTTAGTGGAAACGAATGTAAGTACTAAGTGCTTATTTTTATCAAAAACGCTCTATCGTAAGAAAGCAAATAACTGAATTTCTAATAGTCTATTCATGTTTTTAAAGTCGGTTTGTGTGTATAGATACAAGAAGAACGCCGTTCCTTAATTTGATAGCAAGTCGCGAGTCTCTTATTGTTGATGCAATTAATAAAAGCACTTGCCAAAGGGTTTTCATAATAACCGACGATCAAAACAAGAACTTGATAAAATGACTGAACTTTAATCGCTAAAAGTGCATAAATTTATTTCTTTAAAAATAAGTCGTATCGATTTATCAAAAAAACAACGTCAAATAAATTCCATATACAAAATCCTGACCTACGCTGCAAGAAGCTTATTACACTGATTACAGATTGAAATGTTTAATGATTCATGGTATTTTTTTAAATCTTTGCGTCGATAATTAACTCGTCTTGGCATTGCGTGATTTAATTTTAATTAGTCTTTATTTTTTGTAATTGTTTAAAAAGATTTCTAATTAGAAAAGGCACTAAGAAATAAAATATGGAAATAAGATAATAATAACAATCAAAATGTTAAAAGAAGTGATCATTTTCTTGTTGGCACTCTTTATAAACGCACATTTATTTGTTTTGACTACGCCATTTTTTTGTTAAACGAAATTTTGAAAAATCCAACATGTACGATGAGTAGCGATCAATTTTTTTTAAATTTTAATCTGAATTTAATCCATTTTTTTAACGTTTTTTTCTGGATTATCTTATAAGATCTGTTAATCTTTAATATTTTAACATTTTGAAAAAAATCTATAACCCGAATTATTCGAGGTTGTAAAAGAAGTACTTATTTGTATCTAATTAAATTATTTTAGAAGTTGAAAATTTTAGATTTTACAAATTTCTAAACAACGTTGGTTATACAGGGTTCCCGTTTTTCAAGCTCCACTATGGGGATCTTATAAGAGATACGAGGTCGGGTAAATTTGAACAAAGTTGCGCATTCTTATGCTGAAAGAAAATTTGATGTCATTTTTAGTTTTTGAATTATTGAAAAAAAAAAAAAACGGAAATTTGTAATTTTAGGTTATTTTTTTAAGCGAAAACCAAAAAAAACTTGACGTTTTTAACTAGGACGTTTTTGAGGCAATTTTTTTACAAGGAATCTAAATCTGTCATCGTATTTTCCAAGGCGTTCTTGGTGTCAGAGTTAAACATTCAACTTTGATTTTTCTTATGAGCGCCATATTGGATTTTGGATTTTTGAAAAGTTTTATTTATTTTCATTATGATCGAATCTTACATGCTGTTAAAAAAATCGTTTTTGCGAAGAGTTATTTGGAAAGAACGCCAACAATTTTGTTTAACAAACTAAATTTTGACAGTTGAGTTAAATATGCGAGCAGAACTTTTGAATTCTTTCCAAGTTTATGTCGTTTCTAATTAAAAAAAAAACAAATGTTTTTAAGTAGGTAACCTTGACGAAAATGTAAAAGTTCCATCCAAATTCAATTGAACTAATTTAACCGATCTCGTATCTCTTGTAATAATTGGGATCCCTATAGTGGAGCTCGAAAAACGTTCACTCTGTATAGTCACATTAGAAAATGTCTTGTGAAAAGCTGTTAAATAATGATAACTAAAAGTCACTTTCTACAATTTGTGATTAACAACATTATGATAAGTTGTGGACTTTTGTAACCGTTTCTGCGTTGTTGCTTTCTTTTCATTAATTACACTGGGTAAATAAATAAAAAAAAAATTTTTTTACTAAGCTGTATAATAAAAGCAAATATGGATGGATCTATAAGATTTAACTTCAGCTTCAATTTTATTAATTTTGTTTTTCTATTTCGTTATTTTTATAATTTTTGAAAAATAGACATGATATGTATTAACTTTTGTTGATAGGAAAATTCGAGGGTAAATTATTGTGTGTATGTAATTGTCAATTTTTTTTCTTTAAAACCTTCTAACAACAATCAAACAATAAAAAGTAAAAAGCTTACAAAAAAATATTAAAACCATTTACAATGCTTAATAAAATCCTAAAAACGTACATAGTCTATAACTCATTATAAAAAAGTTATATGATGATTTGGCATCTGTAGTAAAATTTTGTTAGCAGTGAAAAATAAATATTTAGAATAGATTTTTCAAAATGTGGTCCATGTTTTCTCCACTTATCTTATGTAGGTATACAAGTAAAAGAACAAATCTTTCATCTAAATTGTTAATCAAAAATTTATACGCTATTGCTGCGACAAGACCAAGATGTTATTAATCTACGATTAGATACAAAAGATAATTGTTCCATTTTTATCATAACTCTGAAGTTGTAAAGAAAGCTGTATTACTCTGTTTATACAAAGCTGCTGCACTAGTAAGTATTTATTTTTTTAAATCTAAATACTAATACGTTTTGAATGTATTTTTGGGCACTTTTTGAATAAATATTTCAACACTGTTCTGGTGGCACTTGATCCCTTTCGAGTGAGCATCCATGTCATCGATTTATGATTGTGCGACGGCACATTTTAAAGAAGCCCCAAATATGCCGTTACATGGTCACTATGTGTGGCTTGCAGAGTGACAGAAAACAGATAAGGGGCGTAAACCCCTGGGATGTGTTTGGTATCTTTTACACATCAGGCGTGTGCGTTTTTTGCCTTTTGCTACAAATTGTGTGACATTCCTTTTAGGTCATCTAAGTGCCAACATATGTTGCAACAAGGTCTTATACTTACTTACAAATGTAATTTTTTTACTAAATATTGATTACGAATATTGCAATGAATGAATCACACGAAAACAATACATTTCAACATTTACCTCGAGTGGTAAATTCGTGAAAGAGAAAACCTGGGGTAGGTCTGTGCTCCTGTCTTGATTTATTGGAAATCCGACACCGAGTTAGGTGCGTGGCGCCAGATTTTTTCATAGGGCATGCCTCGACGATTAAGATTTTAAGTCTAGTGTCGTAAATCTTCATCCACCAGCTGAAAGCTTGCCATTTTTTTAACTGAAACCGCATTTGTCAATCCGAATAGTAAATTTTGTAAAATTGAACAGACTACTTTGGTGGGTTTCAATGTTATTTATGACAAACATAATGTGATCTGGCTAGATGAAGAGTGCATCTGTGGAAAACAGATGTACAGCGATTTAAAGATCCTAAAACATTCAACTATATTTATCATAAGTGGCCATTACATCAGTTTCGTTGAAAATGCGAGATTTTATAACGAAGGCTAATAATAATATAATAATAATAAGGCAAAGTATTCAATTTTGTGCTTTTGGTTTCTTGCTTAGATAGATAAAAGGGCGTTTTACAATTTATCATAAATTATCTTTGTTTGAGTATTTGAAAAGTATGTTTTACAGAGCCATTATAATTATTTTACTTACTTAAAATTTTATATACAAAACACTTTCTAACAAGAGGTATAATCCATTTTTTATTACATTGTGTGGATCAATTAATAATTGGAAAGACGTACTATATGGCTACCTTTTTTCAACATTTGTTGAAAGATTGATCAAAGTTTTGCAAAAGAATTAAAGAAACAACTACACATATTGTTTCTGAACATTGCTTAATCTTCATCAAAATGGAAAAAATAGTTTTTTAACTTTTTTACATTAGT